TTTATGATAAAAAAAATAAAAATATCCCCATGATATTTTTTCTCTGAGTTATTTTTAACATTAAAGCCAAAAATAGGACTTTTCTGTGAAATTCATAACTTTTGTTCATTTTGCTATAACTCTTTAAAAATACACTGATACTAATAAAATTAAAAAAAAATGAACTAAAGAAATTAAGCTTTCTTTTGGCATGCTGTTTATAACAGTCCAACGAAAACCATGAGCCCAGGAATAGTTTGAAAAAGATCACTTACGAATATATAAAAAAAATAGCGTTTTTTTCAATTGAGCAAATAATTTAACAAGCATTTAATATTCGAGTGATATTTTAAATCATGGAATTTGTAAAATTATAAATAAACAAATTATGAAATTTAACAGATCCCATCGATGTGTTTTTTGTGATAGTTAATAACTGTCAAATATTATTAATATTTCTATGTTCCAACATTGACACCTCCCCACTTTATAACCTTTTTTTAATAGATTTTAATAGGTAAATCGAAAACTATCATTTTAATTTTTATGGGTTAAACAAACTTATTTATACCATTTTATTATAAATGATAATAAACCAATAAATATAATATTTATATGAATGAATTTCTTAAGATTTTCATCGAGTAAAACATTGGTTGATACATTTTTCAAGACTAAAGAGTTCTATTTATACACATGGCAAATAATCAATTTCAAAAATTTTTACCGTGAGATCTAAATATTTCATTTGTAAATTATTTGACTTGAAAAAATTCTTAACATTATCATTTTTCACAATTTAAATTCTCTGTTAATGATTATCTTTCCAATGCTTTATATACATTAGGTTTTCATCATAACATAAATTATTTTGAACTTTAATGCCATTAATTGAAATTTTTTTAAGGAATAAACAATAAAATGACTTTTTTTGTATGAATATAGCACAAGAAATCATGTGGCCTTTTTTCAAACATGTAATTACTGTACTAATGTAATTAAATCATACATTACAATCTTTATTTAATAGCTATTATATATTAACAATTATGTGTCAATATACCTAAATGGCATATATTGTTAGGTAAAAACTGTTAAATTATGTGCAAATTTAACAACTTAAATCTAAATTGTAAATATTTTGAAAATATTTAGTTTACAACATTATATAACCATATTTTACAATTTGCGAATAACAGTAACGCGTGTACTAACTACAGTATTTGTTAATATACTTGTTAATTTAACAAATGGCGCAAGAGCTAAGTCATCGTAAAACTTAGTAGCCAACTTGAGATTATATTAGCTGATATTATATAATATGTTCAAAAAAGTAAAAGTAAGAAAAAATCTTATGGAATAATTCGTTTACAAAAATTTTCGCATGCACATATACTTAAAATATATTTTTATGTTCACACACTACTATAATAATTTTTGGTATTATTCTTTAGTTTCAAAATTTACAAATTTTTGATATAAACCCTTATGTAAATGACACTACTGTCATAAGTATATTAAGAACAAAAAATAAAAACAAGTTTCTTGTAAGGTTTTAATATGTTTAAAATAAAAATGTCGTATACTGTAATATAATTAAAATATATTTACATAACACATATTTAATTTAATAACAGTTCTATAAAGACATTTATGAAAATGGCTTTTAGTCAAAACTTATAAAACTATTTTATTCGTATATAGGTTCTGTATTCTTAAAGAATCTTTAGATTTTTCTAAAAGAATTGCAATTATATAATTTTTTTTAATTAAATTTTTCTATTTAGATCTAGTGTACTATTAAGTGAAAACATAATTGTGATTTTAAAGCATCCAGCCAATATTTTACATACCCGTTCATTGTCATAACAACTTCGATTGTTATTTGGTGCTGGTTTATTTAAACTTTTTAGTTTACCAGTAAAATAATTGTTTTTTGCAATACGCGGTATTGTCTATTTACATTTCACTGCTAATTATGATTATGTAACGAAGAGTTTTATACACAACTACAAGACAAAACTGTCAATACAATAGTTATAATACTATAGACATAGTTAACTATCATTATAGAATCAATCGAAGAAAGTGAATATCCATAAAAGAGACAATGGGAAACAAAGACGAACAATTTCATTCGGAAAAGTAACAAATAAATTACAAGCGGCGATCATATTTTAATTATAATCGTTCAGTTAATTATTTTAGAAAATCGTAACCTTCATAATGATTTCTGATCGACTAATTCATCAGTAGAATAAACAATAATAAATGATCAGAAATTAAAAATAACGATGTTAATTTTGTAGATTAGCTCCCGTAAAGCAATAGAAAAATCAAATAGAAATGCTCAGAGCTATTAATTGACTCAAAATATACAATACAAGTAATTTGTTCAATTTTATTATAGCCACAAGATTGAACATCAGTTCCACTAATTTAAATATACTATTAAATAAACAATTTAATTCATAACAAAAAACAAAAAATACACAAATAAATAACTATTTTTCAGTTCAAGACCTAATAGAAGAATTTTTGTGTCTTTTAGTAAAATTAAAAGAACTCAATTACAATATAATCGATTGACTTCATTAACTTTGTCAGTGCTCCATTAAGATAAATTGTTTTTTTATAAATCTAATTTATTTTAAAACTATAAAAGAATATTTTGCTTAATTTACTTTTAATTACTACATTGATTACGAAATTTTACTTGAAAACAAATGAAATTTGTTGAATTATGAAATTGACACTAAAAATACAACCATGCACTACTTAATTAATTAGCTTAACAATAAGTATTTACCCTTGAATAGTATACATTATATTATTTACTGGATTATTGGGCGTTAGCAGTAGATAGTACATATAGTATACATATACAGAGAGAAAATACAAATTTTTTTCAACTATAAAATAACTATGCCAAATGTTACCATTTGAATACGTACTTTCATCACTGTCGCTATAGTTTATCTGAATGGCTAATTTTTTCTGTTTCATAATAAATATTCAAATAATGAAAAATAATTTTAGGTAAAAATAATATTTATTAAATATGATTTTATAAAAAATAAAAATTATGTGTAATTACACTTATAAATGTTTGTGTATGATATACAGTCTATTGAAAATTACTCAACGTAAAAATTCAAGGTCACATAGCTTTGTAGTTGATTATTTAATTATTTTATTAATTCTCCTTTTTTAATATTTTCAGTATATTAAAATAACTACATATTTTTAAGTGTAATATTGCAAAATAATGAAGTTCTGACATTAAATTGTTCTTAGTATCTCGTTATTAAAAGTTTTAGATTGTATAATTTTTTTGTGCTTAAATATAATTTTAAAAAATTAAATAGAAAAAGATTTCATTTCCAACTAATATTTGTTAAGTAGATATATTTTTTAAATCTTATAAAATTTTTTACTTTAATATCACAAACATAAAATAAAATTTGCATATTCTTGTATTAAAATATACAAATATTAACAAAATTTGTTGCATCAATAAAAAAAAAATGGTTCTCTTTTTGAAATACGGGAATTTCTCTATAAAACGCACAAATTGTTTTGTTTACTTGCGGTAAGTCTACTTACCTGTAGACTACTCAAAAATCACTCTTTAAAGGGTGGCGCTTTCATTTAGATGAACTGCATAGATAGAAAACATATTATGATGTCTACCTATCATAGTTTTCTACAATATATATAAATATATAATAGAAAACTCACAAAATCTCGGAAAACTAAAATATACCAATTACCTGCTCACCTTATAGTAAGTGCGAGTGTACCCCATAATACGATAAAACTGAAAAAAATGTATAGTACCCTATGTAATTTTTTCATTAGTATTATTTCAGATGAAAAAATAGTTGTATAAAGTAGTTTTATGATACAAGTATTAAAGTTCACATATGAGAAAAACTGCCTGCTCAGTACTCTCATAATTTTTTTTAACTTACTTTGATATCTAACTACTTTTTCTATCAATATTTATTTTAATAATATTATGTCAAATATTCAAAAAAATACTTAAACTTAATACTTCATAAGATTAGATAGAATGATAAGTGGTTCTTAAAAAAAAAATGGCTCTAAGCATAAACGATGTTAAATTGCATAGTCAGAGTGCCGTGTCTATAAATAATCATTTTATTATGTTGGTTTTTTGGTACTAAATTTATCATCATTTTAATCCTCTAAACGCAAAAATGAATACAACTTTATATTACACCATATTAAAATATTAAATTTCAAGAGGACATTTTGAGTACTGTAACTTTGTATAAACACAACATCTATATAATAATAACGAGTTTTTGAAAAGTCTCGGTTAATGATCTGAGAAAAATTTGACGTAAATTAATGATCTAAATTAAAAAATATATTATTTATGTACCAAAACAATAAATGTTCTTTATTATAACTAATGTATATAAAATAAACGTAAAAACTAATATAAATTTATTAAGTTTTTCAGTTATATGTTATAGAGGAAAACGTAGTCATAATTCACTTATAAAAATATTTATCTATAATAATAATAATAATAATAATTGGTAAAAAATTCAACCAGGGAAAATTAAATAGACCTATTTTTCTTCTAAATAAAGTGATAAAAGCAACAAAAAGTTAAAAATTAAAGTAATTGGACCAGAGTCGTGGTACTAAGACTATCCCACCAAAAACTTCTTTAGAATTGCAGTGGTACAATCTATTGCTGAACAGATATGTTTGGTTAAAGTTGATGAATATATAAAAAAAATTTTTATATATTTATTATAGGTTTACGCATTAGTGCTCATCCGCCATGTCAAAATAATACTTGGACACAGCAGTGATTTTTGCTCAATATAATTACGAATTATATTGAGCTAATAAATTATAATTTACTTTTAAAAACAAATGAAATCTACTTAATTTAATATTCGAAAACTAGTGCCAAGGCTTTAGTACGACCAGTTATTTTTTCAGTCATCTTATAAAATTATTAAACGATCTCAATATACCTTTTTTCAACTTTTTTGAGGCGGACATTGTGATGCGCCAACAAATTTTTGTTTACCATGTCCAAGGCCAGATCGACAGCGGGTCCGCATCGTTCCAAATCAAACGGCGAATTTAATTTGGATGTCATCAGCACTCCAACCTTATACTCGACCACGGCGTCGAGGGATTCGGCCGTGGCCAACACCGGTAACAATAACCACGCGGATACCGCCCAGCCCGTCGTCAGCTGAACCATGGTACGACAACGGCGCTGGCAGAATCACACTGGTATTTTCTGTGGATGTCCATGGGGTAGTTACACGCGAAAAATGGCGCATGATCACTCCGAGAGAAGCGCACACGATAAAAGAAATGCACCTGTGCGCCACTTTTGGAGATCAACAAGTGTCAGTAAATATTGAAGTATTAAGCTACTGACATTTTATCACAAAATGATTTCGTATAGAGTTTAACCAAATTTCAAACAAAGTTACTTTAATTGTGTACACGTAAATAAAATAAAAAAAAAAAAATTAAATATCTTTATAATATATAAATAATTATATTAAATTATTAAGAATACATAAATTGTTTTTATTTTATTTTTTAATCATGTTTGACGTCCCCTCTAAAAGCTATTGCTTTTATCATTACACTTTTATGAAAACGTTTCGATTTAATTCAAATACAAAAAAAATTGGTTTAAATCGTTAAAATTAAATTACTTATAAATATATTTAATACTTAATGAATGAGTATCGTTGATTAATTTTATTTGTTATCATTTAAATTAAAATAATACTAAATCTGAATGATATCTGCAATGTGTAATCCTAATGAAAAAAATAACTGATAAATGTTTGTTGACAATAGATTAATTTATCCACGGTACGTTTTTAATTAAGTTAAAAAGTCGAACAGTATACAATGATCAAAGAAAAACATTCAAGGTAAAACTCAGTCATACTTTAAAAATTAGAACTCCATTGGTTGTAATATAATTGAAATAAATATAATTGAGATATCGTGATAACAAATAGTAAATTTTTATTTGTGTAGATGAATAAAAATGTGATCGGATCGTAGGAGGAAAAGAGATAAGAGCTGACTGGCAACAATACTTTCAAGTATACTCAGTACTATTTGAAAATATAGATGTGTACTACTTAAGACTCAAGATTCTTTTTAATTGGACGAATGTCATTTGTCAATAAAAATAAAAATAAAAGAACTTTGTATCTTTTGAATCGTATAATGACTAAATTTCAAAACTGGACCTAAGTCAAGTACATAAGGCATTTTTTTAACGAGTGACGAAAAATTATCTGAAATAAATTAGATAGTATCTGTTGGAATAAATCAAAAGATACAATTAGACTAATTCCCACGACGGAAGAATTTTTCATAATATTTGTCATTTCATAAATAAAAAATACGGAAGATTCATTCAAAAACGTATAATGAAAGTCGTCGTTCAATAGGAAATAAATCTCTAAAAAAAATCACCCTACTTTCTCGAAAAAGATTTCCACGAACGCTTTAATGAATTTTATATGTACTAAAACTCGGTGGATAAAATACATAAGCTATTCAAAATAAAACATTGACAACAAGTCAACAAATGATAAAGTTAATACCAACAAAATTATTTTTGACAAGAATTAAATAAAAAAAACCCTAGACGATCTTTGTTTGGAGGTCTGTCATTGTTGCGAGTAAAGTGTTAGATTAGAAAATAATCATAACACGATGATAAATTACAATTAAATGTAAAATTATATTTTATAAGATTTCGATAAAATAGCGTTCTCGAATGTGCAAGTTGAACAGCAGTTACTTTGATAAGTAAACTTTTGCTAATTTGTTTGAATAATAATTATTATTTTATCCTAATATCGTCAATAATTTTTAATTGTGCCTTACCTTACAACATTCTACTTAACAATATTTAAATTAACGTTAATTGTTAAATATCTCAAGCTATGCACTTAAGTTTACGTGTGGTACTTATGATGACTAATTATCTGCCCACGATTATTATTATTATTATTTCACATAAAAAAATATTATTTAAATATGAAACAAATTGGAAATACATTGTACATGCTCTGAAAGCTTGGGTCATTAGTAATTTTATGGTATAGTTTCTAGCTTTCTAACATAAAATCTTAAATTTGACCTCATAGTAAAATAAGCTTAAACCAACTAAAAAATAGTTGAGCTTTCATTTCACCGTTTTGTCACCTTATTTACATATATTAAAATATGAAATGATATTTAAGTTTTAATTAAAATTTATGAGTGTTTGACATTTACAATTTTAAGAAACATTTATAAATTAAATTTAGTTTATTTTAGTTTTATTTAATATTTCTTTAAAAATGTTTTAAAAAAAGTCTGGACATTCTACCTAATTCAATTGAAAAATATTTTTATTTACTAAATGAAGTTATTTATATTAAAATAATAACATTAATAAGTAGTCAGAATATAATTTCTTTTGTATGATTTCACAATAATAAAGCTCAAAATTTCGCACAGATGACTTAGCAAGAATATTATAATAACATCTACAGTTGAAAAAAATACCATTGTAATCTTATATTGTCAGTTTCATAATTACATCTATATTAAGTGTTTCTTAAGTATAAAATATGATTGATGAATTATTTTTCCACAATGGCACGGTAAGTAAATTTTTTGAATACATTGGAAATACATTTGTTAAAATGTTAATGTAATAAAATGTAAAAGTCAAATCATTGAATATGTTATTGAAGTACTTACTGGTAATTTGAATATTTATTAAAAAAAAATTTAACTAATATATTGTTGATGTTAACATAGATTTTTATACATAAAAAAAAAGTATGATTGAATTTGTTCCTAATCATTATTAGTTAAAATCATATTTTAGGGATGTTTCTTCATTTTAATGCATTTAATAACATAATTATTATTTTTATAAATCTAGATGAAAGTTTATACGTAAGACATTAAAAACTACACAATTTCAAAGGCCCTAGATTTTGAAGTTTGTATTAGTAGTAACCTATATAAATACATTAAGTTCTAAGCATTAAATTTCTAATTTTAATGAGCCGTTGAATTGAAATTCCAAGAGTACTTGCCTATTAAATTGAGTGGCATAATAACAGTTTAAAAGGATATCAACTGTACTGCGCAGTTAAAAAATCGTACCTACTTGAATATATTTTGATGTAATTATTTGTGATTTGAATGAACATATTAATGATCCAAAAAGTATAGTCTCTAATTTATAAAACAATGAAGATTTAATGATTATAGCATCATTTTCTAAGATGATAAGATAAAATAGCATTTATGTTTATAATAATACTCAAGTTAAAATAACCAATGAAAAAAAAACTTTTCCTGTTAATGAAGATTCATTAATAAACAATATACTTCATCATTATTACTTATACAAAAGTAACAATAACAAAAGTTATTTAAATTGTTTCAGTTTGAAAGTTACTTAATACATAGTTTATTATAAAAAAACATCTCTAGAAATTTTAATTCTTTATAATAAACATGTAGTTATACATAATGTAGACAATGAAATGATAAAAGATGTAATAAAATAAACAGAAAATTTCACATTCATAAGATAATATTCAACAATAATAATACTTATATCTTTTTATAGTATTTAAACTTTTGTCCCATTAACTATATTTTCTAAAAATAATTAAATATGCTATTAGATATTCAATAATAGATGTCCAAAATGTGATTATATACTTCATTGTTTATTTTACTTGTAACTCACTTAAATTAAATATTAATAATCTAAATGATACATATAAAATAATTTATGTTTAATTAAAATATAACTATTTATTACACTACTCTTGTTCAATTATAGAAGTAGTTTTAGTAAAGTTATGTTGCATTCATATAAATTTGTTAGTCAAAAGGAAATCGTTGATAACAAACATTATTTAAAATGCTTATGAACAGAGTGATTTACTTAGCATGAATCACAGAAACAATCGAAAAATAATAAAAATGTTAAATATAATTTTTTTTGTACCTTTTAATTCATTTTTTTTTCTCATTTTATCTTGAAGTATTTTGTATGTTTATCCCTTTTACGTTATAAGGTATAGTAGTGTCAACATAAAAACATATAGTTTTCAAATGGGGATTCAAATGATTAACTAGTTTATTATTGGATAATGACCTAATTAAAAAATTTCTGGTCCATAATTGTTATTGAGCTAGTATTTCGGAAGTTATTAACCATTTAAAGTAATAATTGGAGGAGTAGATTGTTTGTTGATATTTTATAATTAGACGTTTATTTTACGGCCGTGCTCTCCTCTAGTCTACGTATAAACATGTTAATAATCCGAAATATTTGTCCAAAAGTTGATATCGACCAGTCATTTTTTTAAACAGATATTATGTGTATTGCCGTTTGAAAAATTCAATTGACACCCTTATAAGGTATAATGGATGAACATAAAATATACTTCATGAATAATAAATTGAGAAAAACAATAAACTAAAATAAACTCAAAAAATTATTTTCAATATTATTCTTATTTTTCGATTAATTATTTAGTTCATGACAAGTTAATCACTCTGTATAATCATGCAGTTATTTAAAAGAGAAATTATGACTTTTAATTTATAAAGTCTGTAAATCGTACAATATACATCACCTAAACACAATTATTTAATTTGAAAATTACTTAAGGATTAATAATTTAAGTATAATTACTAAATGTAAGTAATATAGCCAAGTAGTTTATACTTACAAATAATTATATACTAGATATATAGATAATTAGCAAAACTTTAGAATTTTTAATTTACGGGAAATTTTACAAGAACATATTGTTACATTAACACAAAGTTAATTTTAATATTCAATATTTATATAAAACATTCATTTATAAATTTAGTTACAATGTATAATATTATTATTATTATTTTTATTTATTTACATTACCTTTTTAAAAGCACCTACTTGTTTCTTTATTTATTTTCTGTTTTAATACATATTATTGTGGCCCTTAATCAGAAGAAAGTTTTTATACGCAAATAAATATTATATACAAGAAAAATAGTAAAATCAACAAGTGTACAAATTATAATGTAATAAAACAAGAATTAATAAAACATAAATTTATGGAAATTAAGCTATTAAATTGGTGATAAATTTGTATTTAAAAAAAATGTGTTACGACTATTTCACATTATCTCGATTAAAATCAATGTTAATACTTGACCCTGCAAAAAAAATTACTGTTATTTAAGTTAACAAAAAAAAAAAAAAAAAACAGCCGACATTCAGTAATATAATATTTTATAGTGAGTTTTCTTGTACTAAAATACTATTACACGTCCTGATTCCTAATTCAATTTAGAACATACATTTTATGAGTAATAAAAACAAAATATATCTAACGTCTTCAGTGTATTCCGAGATGGAAACTTTATGTTTACACTAGAATGCCTCAACAAACACAATGGTTAACAAATCCGGCTTACTTCAGACTTTGTCCAGTTTCAATTTTACTTTACTTTTCACTCGACATATTATGCACGGAATTTAGTTGTCGAACTAAATGAACCTAACTTACTTCTGGAAGCCCGTAGATACCACTAAATATTTAAAATACTACTCGGCACAAAAAATAGTAAAAAATAATCGTACATTAAACAATAACATATTGTTCATATAAAACAATATTAGTTTAAATTTCACATGCGTTGTATTGGAGTATAATTATATAAATTTAGTTTTTGTCGAACACAGCTTGGTGCATTGATGATATTATTACCCGACATTGTTCAGCAATGTCAATACCATTTGACAAGCATCATACACATAATATAACATTTGACTAATATTTCAAATGTATTTCAGATCACGTAACAGCTGACCCGTTGGCCGCAAAATTAAAAATTCCCAATGTCCTATAACGTGGGAGTTGGCGTGTACAATAATTGTTTGTTCGTTCTCTGAATAAGACACATTTGACAACGAAGAATCAAATGGGATCGAAACTTTCGGATGAACAAACCTCATTGCTAGCTCACAAACAAAAAAACACAACGGCCGCTAGTTATTAAGTTCCTAACAAACCGTAAACAGTGTCTATTGTCTATGGTAGTGAGCGCATTTAATTTCATTTGTTTCTATCGACATCAGAGAAACGTTTCGTTAGATGTACCCAAATTTTCGACATGCTTTGTCTTGAGCTTTCTCCCGTTAGAAACAAATTCAAAATGCAAAAAACTGTATCTGTTCCGATCACAGTCTAAAAGCATTTGTTTCGCGGGTAAAATAGTTTACAGAGAACTAAACTGTTTACTTTAACAATACAGTGTACTTTACTCAACAGAGTAAATCATTAAATATTTTTACAATAACATTTACATTTTTCATATTGTATTGAAAGTAATTAAATTATGACGAATAAATTATTTGTTGTACATAATTGTCAATAAATTGTAATGAAAATCAGCACAAAAATTAATTAATTGTTAAATATAAATTTTAAGATCGTTTGAAACATGAAGGAATACAAAAATCTCCTATGATATAGGGCCATCATTTTTGATAATAGCTATGACATATCCATTCATTTTTACTCAAATATAAATTGAATTAAATTCTTAATGAATGAAAAAAATCACTAGTTAAATAAAATTGTAATTTTTTTTTATCTAATTTGTCATTAAAGTTTGATAAAAACCAATGTCCACTCTTGTAAAATAAACAAGTTCAATAAATACTTTTCTACATAATGTAGGATAAAGTAAAAAAAAAAATTGTTTTCATACTTATGAACAACTTTAATAAATATGTACGAGTTCAAACTAAATATATATTCTATTGATTTTTTGCGAAAATTAAAAACAAATTTTGTTATTTTTTTATATTTATTGCGAATAGAAATATGTATAGCTACCAAAAAATTTAATACAAATGTTTGATTAAATCATAAGTTCCTAATACACTATAGGGACATCTATTCCTATTTACGTCACTACTTATTCAATAATCAGAATCATACTGTATAATAATCTTATGAAAATATACGAGATTATGTGTATGAAAGATACGAAAAGCCGAATAATAACTAATATTGCAATATTGTTTACTTGCTGCTGTAATGTATTTCGGAGTTGACACGGTAGAGAAGATCGCCTTGTCTGATTTTATAAATTCAAGATATTTTTACTCCAAAATATTGAGTGTGTAAGCTTATTTGAAAATATCTCCACTCTAAAAACAAATAAAAATACGCCAATGAAATCCTAGACAAGTAAACAAAAATGTATTAATATCAATGAGTTATTTAAAAACTTTTTTTTAAGGAAAACTTTAAATATTAATAAATATTAAAAAAATAATTGTTGTTATGGAAGAAGATTTACACTCTTTGCATTATACAACATAATTAATGATATTGAAATTAATAAATAATAAAATTATTTAATTATTGAATTAAAATTGACTTTAATTAAATACATATTTATATTTAGTTGTAAAATGTATAACAATTTTATTTTATATCTTGTTTAAACTGTGTTAACTTTTTCTAAGATATCATTAGTTTACTCTAACAGCACGTTTTTTAATAACTACTTGACTCGCCTCTGTCAACTTTAACAACTCCTAAACATTTTTACAATAATACTTGCTGGTCGTCGAATGCTGTATTTTTTTATATCTTTCACATATTACTTTTTGTTTATTAATCACATACATGTTTAATTATTTTTATAGAATTTGTTTTTTTTCTTATTCTATTTATAATTTTTTGATAATTGTCACTTTTATTGATAATTTGATACTCAGCATTGTGCATCATGCAAAACTATTATTTAAAAAATAAATCAAACAGTAATAAGTTACTGTTTTATTTATTAAAATATTTGTTTCATAATTTAACCTGACGATTACAATCAAAACGGCTGACGTGTATGGTGCTACAATCATTATATAATTGACAACATTAAAAGTTTTAAAGAACAAAACTTTAAACCGATCAAAAGATGATTAAACTCAAATTTGTAATTTATCATTAGCAAAGAAAAATATATCAGCTTCAATGGAGGTGAGATATTTTTAAAAAACCACTATGGAGATCTTCTATAGTAATAGCTAATCTTGAAAGGTAGAAAACACGTATAATATTACTTAAATATTATTATTAAAGTTATTAGAATAGAATCATGTTAAATGATTCATTTGCGTTGGTTTATAACTATAATGAGTATATTCAATTATATTAATGAAATGTAGGGCAATACGGAGAGATCTCGTTATCTAGCTGGTTTTAGTGTATAATAGAAAATGCTGCCTTTCCGATGACCACACCGTACTTCTAAAACAATGCGTTTAAATTAAAATGCTAGTTTTTTTTTTTAGATATTCTATATTTAAAATAAGGTAGTGTGTTTTAGCTTTAAACACGACAATTTTGTTAATTTGTACTGCTTTATTATCATAAGTTGAATAGGATCACACAAAAACGATAGCAGCGGAACACATAATTATGTGTTTTGCTTAACAACCCTTAAAGGGTTGTCGTTAGGAAAACCATCGTATCTTAAAACTTAAATTATACTGTTCGAAGCCATAAACTTAACGAGGTAGTTAAAATCGAGTAAAAGAAGATACTATTTTAGATTAGTGCTGATGACACATTGATAATGGCAGATTAGGAGATTAATTTATGGAAGGTCAAGAAATGCGTGACCCTCCTTCAAAAAATCATATGACTACCTAAATTTGACTTAAAATGGTACTTTAAAAGGATTTTGAGCAAAAAATAATAATATATATATATATATATATATTATGAAGTATACAAGAAATTTTTTTTATTATAATGAAACAATTTTCTTCTGCACGAACACGCCTATGGCAAATATTAGTTTATTTAAAATATTAAATTAATACCTTGAAACTTTTGTTTTTACTATTAAGAAAGATTTTTTCAATAGGTACATTGGCATGAATATTTAGACTGAAAAGTTTTCCGCGGGAATATTTTCACTTGGCAGCCTTTTCGTTAAATCATAAACAGGAAAAATAATCTGAGTACTATATAATACATTATATTTTTATAATTATATCTGTATGTCTCATTTTTCTTTTAAATTACTTCGATCGGGTTAATACTTATAAAACATTCGAAATACATAAAAAATAAATATTGGCTACTTTCTAGACAAGCCATAGCTCTTTCGGGTGTAATTATATTACATTATTAATCATAAGTACAATACGAGACGTACGTGGTATGATAATTTTCATATTATAGTAATTGGCGATAAATAAAACACAATGATAAATAAGAAATCAAATGTGGACAATACACTGTAAACCGTGAAATCATTATAATACATTTAAATGACTCGGAGAGTATGATTAGTAAAGAAAAACATAGAGCAAACTCTGCCGAGCTATGAGAGTTAAAATAAAAAGTATAATCGGTATGATGAACGATATTATAAAGAGGAAGAATAAATGTTCAAAAATAACATGAAATGTATAAGCTCAATATTCTTTGAAAAATCTTCGACCTTTGAAGATAATACATAACATAAGAAAAAATCGCTTCCACCGACCCAGCAAACCTCACCTAGACTATATTATCATATTATATCGTGTGCGCGTGCAAAAAAAAAAAAGTACAGGGGAAACCGGTGACCTACTGATGCAGTTTCCGCGTCCCCTTTTAGTTTATGTGCTTATATATTGAAGTTTTTTCTCTTTCTTTCTTTCCATTTCTCCGACCGTCCAATTGAATTTGCGTTGCCCACACACATATTATACACAGTCGTTTGCTAGAGCTCATTCAGTCGGTGTCCAGTCCGCAACCGGTACATTCGCCGCCGATCGAACGAGTCGCCAATAATTCGACGCTAACAGTGTTCGGTCCGTGTTAATGTCTACGTGATATAATTTGTCATTGAAATACGGTCATCTGAAGACTCATTGAATTTTGTAAGTGTTCTATTCATTTTATCGTGTTTTTCGAGATGGTCATTTTCTTTTTAATATTGCTGCTACTGTTATATTTATTTATTTTGCTTAATTCGATTTTGGAAATACGATGAATTTTGATAATTGAATATAAAAATATTACTTAGAATTCGACGAGTAAATAAATGACAATATCCAGAAGGTCTTATAAAAAAATATAGCGCATATCGACTACACTTAATTTATTATATGGAAAATTCTAATTCACTCGTGTTCGTAATAGTGTTTAAAATCTGAATGTAATTAACTACTCCGTGTCATTTAGATTGTGTATGAAATTATGAGCAATATCTTTATTGTGAACTGCTTACATCTTAAACGAGTGATTAATTAGTTTCCGTCGATTTCCAAACCATACTACCTGTATTTATATTAAATAGTTTTTACATTTTTTTATAAACATTTTTGTGGTTTTCAAATGAAAATATAATTAAATTAAATTAACACATACTAAATAGATTATATTAACGACATGAATTAGATGTTGAACTAAATAATATATCATCGTTTAACATTAGTAGAATATGAATTAAAAACAAATTCATTATAAAATAAGCTTAAATAGCAAATTTTGAATGAGCCATGAACGTTGACAAGGATCAATTTGTCAATGTTGTAGTTGCTGAAGTAATACTACTGTACAACGTTATAATTTAAAGTAGCGCCTACAACAAATCTCTCGTCGTGATAATGTACAGTGTTAATAAAAACTTTTATAAAATTATTTTTTTATTTACTGTAGATTGTTGAAATGGAGAGTCAAAATAGTATCATTAGGTCGTCTAATTCTCTAAATACGGAAACAGTGTTAAAACAGGTTTTGTGTATTAAGTATTTTTTGAACTATTCGAATGATTGTATTTGATAAAATCCAAACGTTACGAAAAAAACCTCTATATAATATTAAATACATTTAATGAAATAAAAGTACTAAAAAAAAAAGAGTAAAATTTGATGTGTGATATTTATAATTTGCTTATAGATTTTTTAAACTCTAGTAAATAATTAAATGCTATACTATATTATATTATAATATTTAATTTCAAACAAACTAGGCTTAGCAAACAACATATTTGCTTTGTAAAAGGTATTCGTCGAGTGACAAAACAATAAAACATTTTTTTTCTATTACACAAGGATTCCCTTTAGAATTCTTCGAATAATAAAATCTTTAAAAATACTCAATGTATAATATTAAAATTTCACGAATAAAAGTTTTATCAAAGAATATTATTGGCCTCCTCAGCCAATAATATTTCAATAACAATTAAATTAATTGATAAAAATAAACATCTTGTAGCAGTTAAAAATTGTATAACTTTGTTATTATTATTTTATGTACGTAATTTAATGAAAATTGTATAAATAATTTAACTATGTAGATTACTTTATTTAAATAACTGTCTGTTATAAAATATGATTAATAGTAATATTTACATCTTAGCTGTCTCTAATTGAATTTTTTTTCGCTTGAACAGAATCTAATGTTGTATCTAATTAGTCATACCAATCACGACCCCGAGTACTTTTTACAATTTTATTTTTTCTAATTTTAATTTAAAGAATAAAACTTTGATCGATCGAAAAGTACAGGTGATTTAAATAAATCTGCATAAACCCTCAGTTTGTGTTACAATATTAATAATTAAAACTTTAGCATAAAAGACTTCACTTTCTATCAAACTTGTTACCTCTACATTTCTTTTATTCGTGTATGATTTTCATTTTATGTTTTATGATTTCGCATACCTATAGTTATTAAATAATTATCAGTGTTATTATCGTTGAAAATGTTTGAATGTTTAGAAACAAAGCAAATAGATTTAACTAATTAACAAAGTGTTAAAATTATAAACGATTTTGCGGAATTTTATAAGCATTCAATAATTAATTAAACTTAGTTTAGCTTAATTATCTTATATAAACTACTCTAAACTATATTAATAATATGGGCCATATATTACATAAATCGCTTGTAATAGATAAATCATCAGAGATTATGTGAGGGGTTGCTGCAATATTGTCAGTCTGACACAGTATAGTTTTTTTATCATTTTTTGAAAAGGACAAAAATAGCAATCCNTCTAAACTATATTAATAATATGGGCCATATATTACATAAATCGCTTGTAATAGATAAATCATCAGAGATTATGTGAGGGGTTGAGCATAATAATGTCTTATGCTGCAATATTGTCAGTCTGACACAGTATAGTTTTTTTATCATTTTTTGAAAAGGACAAAAATAGCAATCCTAAAAAACAAAATAAATTTAAGAATTAGTAACTATTGAACATCAATGTATCTAAAGCATATACAATATTTTTTTAGAAATAGTGAATAAGCGCCTACATATATTATAGCAAAATTATTGCTTTATTTTAGGTTTAGTTAAAAAAAAACAAAATCAGTGTCATCTTATAATTTTTACCAGGGCTATTGTGTTCAACCCATCGCATTCAGTACAAAAAAATGAAAAAATTCATCCCAGCGACATTTTTCAACATAATATTGTAGTTATGATGCTTAGCTCGGTAATATTACGCAGAGGAAAAAACATTTGCGTACGAACCTTCCAAAAATAAAATCCTGACTACGTTTCTGCCGCCATTTGAATAAAGCTAAAAAATATTATATGATTACAATAGTATTTAAAATAAAATTTATGAAAATTTTTACAGTTAAATGAATAACATTTTATGAGAAAAATCGTACATTGAAAATACACAAAATGCTTTAAATTTTTTCTAATGTTTAAACAAGCAAATTTATTAAGTCTGCAGACCCACAGTACTTCTTCGGTGGTATTAATTTTTCATTATAAACAATGTGTTCCTGAATTTGGCAAATGAATAATTAGTTTGATTAAGACAAACGCAGAAAAGCTCCTTGACGGTTGTTATACACACTACTACCTCATGCGGTGATATTATTAAACATAACACGTCACATTGTATTCGATTAATGGAAATCAATACGATTATAACAAACAATATTAGTCCAATTCATAATTGCGCGCATTAAAAAACCAATTATGACAATTAATAAATTATAATTTTGAAAATAATGGAAACAAAAGACTGCCTTTTCGTTTCGACTTTCCAAAAACACAGGTGGTCCAAAAGAGGAAAGTGTTCAATATATTAGTTCATTACAAATCCTATGGAAAGGACACACGCGGACGTGTAGCAGAGTCCCCACAGTATATGGCGAAACTTATTAGAGTCGCATTGTTTTTGTGTACTAGCCAATATTAATATTCATCGGCATGCCGAGACCGTTATAACGCACGTCCGTAGTTTTCTGTATTCCAATCAGGGATCACTTCAATAGTGATATCCAAAATAATAATAATATTCACTTTGTTAATAATTGGGATTTGTTTGGTACATTTCCAATTCATTGTTCTATCTCTTCCCAAATAGCGTATAAACGCCCGAACCGTATCGAGCAGAAAAATCATCACTCGAACAAGTAGATTAGGTGCGTAGTTATCTTATCGCGTAAGTCATTTGTTCTGCGATCGATTAACAAATAACATTTTATCGATGGTAGAACATAACCATGTTTACACATCTCGGCGATACAATTTTATTTATTTGTTCAATAAATTAACGTTTATTTACTTGTATAAATAATAATAAAAAAGTTGATGTGACCTCATGAAAAAAACACGTGTGCATATTAGTCGAAAAATAGCAGTTCCGAGTAAACCGCATCACAAATCATAAAAATCTGAAGATCTCCCGTGGCCTGTTGTACTCCGACGTTTTTTTTTTCTTTTTATTCGTTTTGAACGAGGCATTTAAAAAGTGTGTTGGCGCATTATAGCCGGAAGATATAATAATATGCAAACTGAAGATGTAAATTTCTTTCATTCGACGCCGCAATTCCGTACGATTAAAGAACATTCATTTTAACGTGATTAACCATTCTGATGTTCCATTGTTTTGACCTAAACAACAATCTCAACACATATTTATGCGAGCCTATATTAGTATGTGTTCATAATATTGATTCTATCTCGTTCAGTATTGGAAACATGTTCGACACTAATTACACGCGAGTCGTTAAAACAATATCTGCCAAGTTCAAATCATATTTTGAGCCTCTAAGTATGTTTAAGTAGAGTATAAACACAAACAAGTACAGTAAGCAAACACGTTAAAATCGTTGTTATAATTACTAACGCGCAGTGTTAATAATTCTGTAATTTTATAAGACTACTGAACAAGTTAGCCGTTGTCTTTCTCACCAACTTGTTTTCATTTTTATCTTTTCAATCTCCCATGTACCATTACTTCATAAAAAATCATTTAATTAAAAATCAATCTAATGGGTTAATGTTACGTCTGTTAAATTTTTCGCATTTTTTTTATTTAGTAACTCGCCTTTATTAATAAAAATAATAACGGATTTTTAATTGTGCTATAATGAATAGTTCCAAAATCCCCATGATAAATAATGAAAAATTAGAACTACAGCCACTTATTTGCACAAAATATATTCCTATTTGGTTGTAGTAACTTGGAAATTTCATGCGTATTTTATTAAATCTAAATTACATTCATCTGCTAATTTATAATGGGAAAATAATGAGAACCTCCGCGTCGAACCACAGATAAATATTATTACTGTGATTAGAAAAATAACTAGTTACTCGTAGTGAACACTCGACATGAGCTGTGGGGTCTTCAATAATAATATTTTGAACGGTGTCTATTAGATATCGATACTCATAATTATATGGCGAGCTGTTAAGATTTTGCGAATTTAACATCTATGCTCTGTGTGTTATGTCGTACAAATAACAGGATCTTAAAAGTCAATAACTATAATTAAAAGGTATGTAATGCTAAAGTGGCTTTAGACGTTTTTACTAGACCAGTTGTAAAGCGTTTTCCTGTCAAGTGTGAAAATAAATTATGATTCAGCTACTACGTGAAACTCGATATTAATACAATACACAACAGTCAGCGGCTACAACAGCCTATGTAATTACCGAATACATTATGATATAAAATTAAATTACAATTAAACCAAAAATGGATATTGTACTAATCAAAACAACTGTGTTTTGATATAGTTGGTCCGCACGAACAAACACATCACTCCATAAATATTTGCAAACGATTAAATATCACTTTGATCTATATTTTGGAAAATTTAGTGCAAAGTTCACCAAGAAACTGCTAACGGGAATATTTATAAAAAATGACTCTTACGATTTAAAAGTTTTAACGAGTTTTATAAATCACAAAAGATAGAATCATTAAATTGAATAACGTTCAATTCTGTATTACTTTATTTTATTTTATTTAACCCTCATTTTTTATTTGCAAGTCATTCATTTTGATAATCGTCCTGTATAATTTGCAAAATTGACTTAATTTTTCTAATTAATTTTTCAGATTTGATACCGTCAACACGTCAATACATATTATAACCGTTTAAACAAGGATTACCTACTAGCAATGAGGAATTGTACAAAAAAGTTATTCACATATTGTAATAGATAACTAAATTCACACTAAATAGGTAAGTGATGTACTAATAATCAAATAAAATCGGTACTGTATTTTATTAATTCGTCGCCTTAAAATGAAAAAATTCTAACACAAAATCAATGATTTTTTAGTAGACCGTTTTTAAAAACAAAATTATCATACAATATGTAGTGCGTTTAGTTTTTTATTTAAGTCGTTCAGCTATAAAATGAGTGTAATGAATTTATTTACGATTTAAAACACGCGTAATTAATTTTTAAAAATATTTATCGAAAAAATCGCGTTAGAACCTTTTCGTTCTGAGCTAACGAACTGACGCCATAAACAACGAAATATGTCCCTCTTTTTAAGTCAGTTACGAAGAAAAAAACGTAGTTATCCCTTAGAAAAAAATACGATTTATATCATCAAAATAAACACTTTTCAGTCTTTTTTGTTACTCTTATCTGTGTTATTCAATTATTGTCTCTGTTTTCTTTAAAGAACGTGCTCGAGCCAACTAATAAACTTTGCATAGTATTTGCGAGATGAAATGAAATTTTCCAAAGAAAACGTTAGAAAACCGTCAAAAAACATTAGCGTTGAACCTGAACGGTATTAAAAGTAGAGGTTTTCTGACATTCCGCAACGGTACCTTATAATGTACCGATCGTTTGATGTATCAATGTTCCTTGACAAGATAATAATCACGTGATTGTCTCTTAATGCGGTCCCGCAAAATGTTTTTTATTGAAAAAAAAAAATGTTCATAAGCGAAAGAAACGAAAGAGAAACCTAACAGCACTCCGTTTAAACTCGGTGTCGATAATATCTTTATGGCCAAACTTATCCTGGCCCGTTTCAATTCTACGGGCCGAAATGCCTTCGTGTGTGGTTCCCTCGTCGTGGGCGCTACGATTAGTCGAGTGCTAAGTGTGATCTCGTCTATTTATTTCACTTAATTAATGATCGTACATTACTGTGCATTCGCGTAGCAGAATTGACCTGACAGCAGCCATTGGAAACCGGTTTCATTGGATACTCGGAGTATGGGAAGTGCACTGGCACAGCATTCATAATGAGAGGATATCCCGTGTACGCGTTTCCCAGACAACTTTAACTGTACACTAGACATGTGCACTTTTAACATTATGGTTTGGTCTCTGATCTCCAACGTTAACGTTTTGTAGACAAACTAGTTTCGACTAGTAGGTTAGTTATTATTTTCGCGTAAAATTTAATTGCTATTTATTTATAACGCTTTTCACTTCATTCATGTTCGTCCGTATTACGCAACTATATCCTCCGACAACGCTTTTTTACTATACTCGTTACTAGAGAGACAACACTGATATCGACTTAATATCTACACGTGTATCCATTAACTTAATGATTCGGCTTCTTATGGAGTCGATTCTGTTTGGAAACACATTTTTTATTATCTGCTTTTGACGCCAAATGATTAATGGTTATATCGTTGTTTAATAAAATGATACAAAATAACAAAACATGAATATATAATTTAAATTTGAACTTTTTTTTTATCGAAAAATGTCAAAATGATACTTTTAAGACGCTATGAAATACCATCGTACTTGTATGTGCAGCAGTCAGCAATTATTTTACAGAAATTATAAACAACACGAAATACATGACATAGATTAATGTGACAACGTGATTATTATAATAAGAGCAGAAAACGATTTACTTGATGATATGAAACGAGTAAAATTCTGAATATACTTTTACTGGATATAATTTTGTTGAAAATGTTTCAAGTTTCTATTGAGTAAAACAGCACTTATCTCACAAGTTTCAAAAGATTTTGATTTTATTAAAATATCCATATTTTTAGTTAAACTGTTTCATTAAGGAATTATCTGCAGTATAAATTATAATTTATTATAAATAAGTTCTTATAAGGTAAAATAATTATTTTAAAACTAAAAGTAGCTACTCATAACTGTCATTAACAAATATTCTTCTTTTGAGGCTTTCAAAACAAATTAAGAGAATATGTTTTCAAAAATATATGTTATTCTTTTACTTCAGCTGTTATTTTTCCATTATTTTAACTCAGTAACTCTAAAAAAAAATGAAAACTTTAGAAATCTTATATGTAGTATAAAAAGTAAACACGTCACATATCACGTCTAAATATTAATAAACAATTTATCCGAGTAAAATGTTAATAATAATTCATGTAAATCTTCACCGCTGATTAAAATATGATCATACCGTTTATACGGTGGCTTACATGGTGTTTTTTATGAAGATGTTATTATTTTCATGTTAAAATTAGCCCCGGTCGAACGAATTTGTTAGAATTAATTTTCAATAAACACCGAGATAAAGAGAAGGGTTAATTTGGTATCCTCCTCAAAGTGAGCTTAAGTTTAGCTAGTGTTTTGAATCTGATTAATCTAATACGGTTTTCCTAATACGTAAGGTTACCTTAGTTTAAAATAACATCTTAATTTAATTTGTGGGTACACGAGAATAACCACTATAATATAGTGAACTGCAAGTGTTTTGTGAAGAAACATTCATTTACATGTTTTATCACGAACTAATTATGTGTGCAAATGTTTTACGCTAAAAGACAACATCGGATTGTTTTCATAATTGTACATCTTATTAACCTTATCAATCACAAATAAGTAACTTAATTTATGATGAATATAACTTGTTTAAATTATACTTACTATGGCTGGAAAATGAATAATATCTTGCAAATAACTCGTAAAATATTACCATTTACTATCTTAAAAAGTCTGTCCGAAAGTCCGAAAAATAACTACCAAAGATTTACCTCATAATTTTGCTGTACACAAGTGTACATGACAAAGATAAATTAATTTCAGTTTTGCCTTGTTTAATTGTTATGGTATCGTTCGTTTATTTCCCTCGATTGGCATAAAATTGGTAGAGCACAATAAGATTACAGCGTAACTGGCGATTTGTTTTTTAGTAAAAAATATACTACGTAGGAAAAAAATTGCAAAAATAATTCTTGAAGATCTTTTCTGATAATAACCTAATTGAAAATTAACAAGGAAAATAAGTTTTGCTAGCCGAAAGAAATAGTTTGGGCGTTTAAAACTTAATATTAAATTTAATACTTAAATTTAAATTAAAAAGAAAATACATAACGTTATGCATTTTCTTTTTCAATTTATGTAAAACATACGTTTTAAAATCGTTTACATATTAATCACGTGAAAGTTTAATTACAAAAACTAAAAAATTATAGTCGAGCAACTAAGAANGTTATGGTATCGTTCGTTTATTTCCCTCGATTGGCATAAAACTTGTTTTTATTATTTTATGATAATCAAATTACTAAGATTTTAATTGCTAATATTGCCCATTTATAATTAAGCGCACGCAGACAAAAAATGATTTTAATACCAAATCCGGGTTTTGACCAATTAGATAATTCTCGTAAAAATGCTCTTGCGAATAATAAGTAACATGTCAATGAATGTACTTATCTATGCAAATAAATTTTTACGATCATTAAAATACTTAATAATAATTTTGCAGTGCAAATAGATTTTAATAAGAAGCGAAAAACTATTATCATAGAACTAATATCATTCTCACGTTACACTTAACATTAACACAGTTAAAACAAAAATTATAGGTCAATGGCATTTACATAAATTTGATGAAAAAAAATTATTAAATAAATCCATAAGCGTTTAAATTTATCCAAAAAGTGTGCTTTTTAAAATGCAACAAGTCAACATTTATAATTAGTTGTATATTCAAGCATTTATTATGGTACGTACCTGACATATAATCATTGGACATTTTTTTCTGAATGCATAAATAAAAAGCAGAAATAATTTCGAAAAAAACCGGGAGGGCATTATAATTAATACTTGGATAAGCACAACTAGTAATTCAACGATAAATTCACTAATATTGTAAGCGAACAAAGACATAAATTAATATTTTTAATCAAACAATAAAAAAATGTTTCTGGAAACGTAACGATTTCAATAGGATACCAAATGAAAATAAATGGAAAGGTTGGCTGAAAGTGTATACTTTGTAAATTTGTTTAATTAAATAACTCCCTTTGGGTTGTTTGTGTTTTTAACTGTTTTATGTTAATAAAAACAATGACGCCAAAATATGAAGAGAACGATTTTAATTCAAAAAGTATAATAAAATGATAAATAATAATAATAATGATAAAATAAAAACACTCTTTATCGTTAGTTTTTATGGCCATTGTAATCAATTTTATTAATCATCTAATATTTTTAAAGATCGTTATTCTGTTTGTTAACTTTTATTGTTTTTTAACTATCTACCAAGTATAAGATTTCTAATGAGTTACTGAAAAACATTACTATTAATTTATTGGAGTTTATAATAAATATTTTTTGGCGACGACAAATTCCCAAGTAATTTTACTAGTAAATATTATAAATAATAGTAATTAGCATAACATCAATTATAAAATAGGTTCCCATGGGCGACTTAAAGTATTTATTAGAAATACATCGGACACGCGATTCGTGTACATGTCTAACCGCATGACACAATTATTTTATTAATATATAAAAATGTTTTTTTTTTTTTATTATTAGTTTAAAAGTCGAGTGAAATCAACAATGATTTCGAAACATTTATAAACAGCCATAAAGTTGTGTTGATAATTTTATAGCTAATAAAATTTCTTCAGTTAACCGTCTAAGATACGGTGATCACCAAAAAGATAAACATTTTTTTACTCGATTTCAATTTTCCTACTGAAATGTTCAACTTGACACGTAAAATTGATCACCAGCTGTTATTCGCGAATATTTTCTAGTCCAACACATCTGATGATTTATTTTCTGTTCCATTTGCTTTAAACAAGATTCCTATCTCGATTAACATTGAAATCCTGATGGGCACATTGCACGAGGTGTACAATTCCAGTAACTTAATCAATGCAATCAATTGGGACGCATAAATTAAAATTCACATGATTTGATGCGCTTGTAAAACTCAAATCATATAAATATGATTTGACGGGCAAAAATCGTGAAACAC